GCTGGGTCGTGGCAGGGGAGCACGCCAGCTTCGGTGAGGCAGCCTTTCTCTCAGTTCGCCTTTCTCTCAGTAACGCGCCCACCAAAGCGGCCTTGTGACAGGGCAGAAATGACAGTCTGAGGCCAGGTGGCAGTGAGCCGGCCTTCGTGGACCCTGTTGGCGTGGCCGCCTAGAAGAATAAGGGGCCGGCCCCAGGCCCTGACCCCGCCGCCCGCCGTTGAGACCCTGCGGCTGCGCGGTCTGGCGGCGGCGGCGCGCGCGTGGCGGCTGCGGAGGGTGGAATGACAGCCACAGCCGCGGCCGCCGCCCGGGCTGAGGGGGCTGTCAGGCGCTAGGAAATGTGAGGTGTGCCTGACCCCCCCAGGCACCGCCTGCCGGGTGGGCAGATGGTTTCCGGAGTTGCCGCCCAGGCGTCCGTGCCTCGCCACTAGTGGGTTCCGCGTGTGTCCAGGCCAGGAGCTAGTTCCAGGGTCAGCGGCAGGGTTTGTGTCTAAAAAGTGATTTCGGGCGCTCCCTGGGGGCGCAGCGGGTGAAAGCGCAGCACCAGGACGCTAAGGCCATCTCCGCACCAGTTCGGTCGCGCCCGCCCCGGAGGTGACCCCAGGGCGCGCAGACCTCTCCTGACCGCCCAGACCTCTCCTGACCGCCCGCTGCTCCCCTCAGCAGTGGACTTCCACAGCTGGCCTGTTCTGCTCCCCGCTGTCTCTGGTGAAGCCTCTCACCCCTGCACCTCTGGTCTGTACCCCAGATCTGTATGCACAAATAAATAAACCTTTTTTACAAAAAAGTGGTTTTCTGTAACCCCCACGCTTTGGAGAGTGATTTGAAAGGAGGTTCCTCTCTTCTAGATCTTTCCAACCCTCCAGACACAACCCCACCCTCATCCCCAAAGGACACAGGCAAAGAACCGTATTGGCGTGAATAATTTATTGCGAAGTCTAGTATTGCACACTGGTGGGGGTGGGGCCAGGAGGAGTGCAGGGGCAGCTGGCACAGGCGGCGGCCACGGTGGACAGGGTGCCCCCGCCGCTGGGGAGCTCTCGGGCAGCCAGCCGAGCGTGGGCAAGGTTGCCAGCGAGGCGAAGAGCCCTCAGTCCTCCTGTGGAGGCCCCGGGCTTCCAGCACCCCGCGTCCTTATTCACGGTCCTGGGCATGGGCAGAGGGTGTCACGGTAAGAAGCTCTCTAGCTGCCAAGCTTGGGGGTGCCGGCGAGCCAGCACCCCCCTCCCAGTCCGGGCTGGCCTGGGGGAGGGCTCCAAGAACGCCGGCCTTCACTGCAGTATCCTCAGGCAGGTGGGGACGAGGGACGGGGCCTTGCCCTTGGGGGGCTGCCCCCCCTCTGTGGCGTCCAGGAGCTGCTGCATGTAACATGAGGTGCCCAGCAGCAAGTGACCAGTGGCCTGCATGCTCAGGAGCGCCCAGCGCACAGTTTCCCTGCGTGGAAACGAGAGACACCAGAGTCACCTGCCAGCACCCCCAGGCGCCCCCTCCTCCACGGCCCCCAGCGGGGCAGAGGCTGCCCCCCGCGATGAGAGAAGATCCACGGCACGTCCTGCGAGGACCCCTAACTGGAGTGGCCAGAACCCCCTGCCCTCTCGCGCCAGCTTCAAGCTCCCGTACAGGGCTGGATTTTCGTGTGTTTTGGACCAGCCAGATCATGGACACAGCACAGTTCTGCCTTGGCGATCCGCCTGGCTGCTGAAGCCCCGCCCCGCCCCGCCCCTCCAGACCAGCCTGTTGCCAGAGCCCTGCACTCCCGGGCACTGAGCTCCCTGGCAGTGGCTGCGAGCAGCCGGAAGGCTCACCCCGCACAGGCCTCCACTCTAACGCAGCCTCATCAGCTTGGCCCATGCCTCTGCCCACTCGCCCGTAAAGTGCACACCACTTTGGTCCCATTTACAACCGTGAGACTGAAATCACATCAGTCATTTAATACTGGAGCCAAAGTGTGGAAGACAGGGGCGTCCTGGGGTCCAGAGCTGTGGGCTATGTGCTTGACGGCTTTAACCTGCTTCTTTTCGGTTTCTCTTGAAAAGACTTGGGTGAGGGTCTCTAGGGGTATCCAGTCCCGGGGGCGGGGGAGAGCATGACAGGGAAAATAGATATTTCCAGGCTGAGACGAAAGCTCTGCTTTTCTATTAACCTCATCTAATGAGTGAACTTCCCCTGGCTGACATGGGGCCAGAATGACAATTAAGAGCATAACCAACCGCGATGAAAATACCGTAACTCTCCAGGCTACCGCAGGGACGCCTGCCCATTTCTCGGACTGGAGAGCCCATCTTGCCAGCAGCTGGCCACTCACGATAGGAATGAAAATATAACACAGAGCCAGCAAGGATGAGCCTTAGAAGCAAGACGCTGGCGCGGCAGACCTCTCCTGCCCGCCGCTGCTCCCGTCAGCAGTGTGCTTCAGTCCATCTGCCTGTCCTGCTCCCCACTCTGTCTCGGGTGAAGCCTCTCACCCCCTGCACCTCTGGCCTGGACCCCAGCTCTGTATGCACAAATAAATCTTAAAAAAAAAAAAAAAAAAAAAAAAAAAAAAAAAAAAAAAAAAAGCATTATGCCGAGTGCCATAAGCCAAACACAGCAGAGGTTAGCAAGGGGCGGGGAAAGGGTGCAGGAGTCAGTGTTTAACAGGTACAGTTTCAGCCTGGGAAAATGAGAAGGTTCTGGAAGTGAGTCCTGGGGCTGGTCACACATCACTGTGCCACACTGCGTGCCGCTGGGTTGCAGCTGACTAAGATGGCAGATTCTCCGGTCTGTGCATTTTACTACCGACAGAACAAAAGCCCCAAGTCAGACAGCAGCGCCAGGGCACCCTGCCCACTCCAGCCAAGCTGCCACTCGATACCAGTGTCCACTGCTGAGGCCCGAGAGTCCCATTTCCCCTAAATGGGCTGGGTGTAAAGGCTGGAACTTCTTGCTCTCGAGTTTGAAATCTGGAAACTAGGGGAAGTAGAACCTGCAGCCACAGAAGGAGACCCGAGGCCCCGTGGGGCGGCGCCAGGAGCTTGCGGCCTGCGCCCTCACGCGACACCGGGCGTGCGGGCCAGTCGGAGACCCAGGAGGCCGGCGCCCCGCCACGTCCAGCAGGACCCTGGCGACCCTGCACAGGGCCTGCATCCTCATCCACTCTGCCATTATTTATTTATTTATTTTAAGAATTATTTATTTGTGCATACAGAACAGGGGGGCGCAGGCTAGAGGTGCAGGGGCGGTGAGAGGCTTCCCCAGAGACAGAGCGGGGAGCAGAACAGGCAGATCGACGAAGTCCACTGCTGAGGGGAGCAGCGGGGAGACAGGAGAGGTCTGCCGCGCCCTGTGGGTCACTCCCTGGCCGGGGATCAAATTTGTGCTTACGTGGCTGCAGCCAGCTTCGCCCGTAGTGCGGCGCTTTGACCCGCTGCGCCACCAGAGGCCCCTGTCTTTGTTTTTTACTTATCTTATTTTTGGCTATGTTTCTCTACAATTCTTGGAATTGCTGCTGTGTGTCAACATTCATGGCAGTGCTGAGGGCAGGGCCCTCCCTGGTGGCGCAGCAGGTTAGAGCAGAGCGCAGCACTGTGAAACCAGGTGCAGCCGCTTCAGCGTGAGTTCGACTGGCCAAAGAGCTGACCCCCGCTGCTCCCCTCGGCAGTGGACTTCGTCGATCTGCGTGTCCTGCTCCCCACTCCGTCTCTGGTGAATCCTCTCACCCCCCTCACCTCCGGCCTGCACCCCTGTACGCATAAATAAGTCTTAAAAAAAAAAGTACTGAGGGCAACAGAGTGCCCGCCCTCTCAGAGACGGGGCTGGTGGCTCGGCCAGCAGGGCCGGGCTCGTGGTCAGGACCCAGGACATACGAAGTGAAGCAACCGCGGAGGAGTAGAATGTGCCAGAAGCACCAGGCAAGGAGCCTGCTCTGCTCTTCCCATGCTTTCTGGCTTTGCACTGATTGGATCACCCCTGCCTCAGTGTCTGCCTCCGTGTAATGGAGGGAACATTCTGGAGCAAGCCCACAGCAGCTGGACTCGGGAAGCAGGGCCAGGGCAGCCCAGGGCCTGGACTGGGTTCAGCCAAGGGGGAAACTCATCGGCTCGCCGGGGACGCTCAGCGCCAACATGCAAACGAGTTGTCTTATGGAATGTCCAGTTGTGTCTATAGGTTTATTTCTGATTTTTTTTCTGCATCTGTAGCTGTAGCTTAGCATTCTTTTTTTTAATTTTTGAAGATTTATTTACATATGGATACAGAGCTCGGGTACGGGCCAGAGGTACCCCAGAGCCAGAGTGGGAAGCGGGACAGACGGAAGGACTAGGTGGACTAGGTGCACTGCCGAGGGGAGCAGCGGGCGGGTCAGGGGCAGCGGGCAGCGCCTGCGGGTCCCTCCCTGGCTGGGGATGGAACTCGCCTGCAGGGGCCGCGGCAGCCTCCTGTGCTGCGCTCTGACCCGCTGGGCCGCCAGGAGGGCTCCTGTGTCTGAGCATTACGGGGGTGGGATTTTGAATTACCCCCTGTTTGATTGTAACTTCTCGCCTCTTCCCTCATTCATTGAGCTCAATAACATCTTCGACACGTGCTCATTTCTTTAAAGTTGATGCCGAGGCTATTTTGGAAAACTGACTCTTTCCGGTGACTAACGAGGGCGTTATGGTGGAAGGCCGTGTACAAGCAAGATGTCTCGGCCGCACCAGGAGGCCCCGCGCGAGCTGGCGTCCTCCGAAGCCCCAGTTCAGACTGGACGCTCTCGGCAGGTGCTTGCGGGCGCCGGGGGCACAGAGCCTGCTCCCGCTGGGGCAGAGGAACCGCCTCCCCCCTCCCGCCAGTGCCCACGCACTCACTTCACCATGCGCTTGGCCCCGCAGCAGTTCAGGTTGTACGAGAGGGAGTAGGTGCCGTAGAGCGTGGCCTTCACGTTCAGGTAGCCGAAGAAGTCCTGCGGGCTCATCTTGTACAGGTCGAAAGTGACCCGGGCCACATCGATCTTCTTGGCCGGTTTGTGGGAGAGGGACACGGGGTACCTAGGCCCCTGCATTGAGAGACGGCGTGGCTGGCACCCCTGCAGGGCTCCTCCAGACTGCCAGTGAGCCCCCTGGGCCAGACCTCACCTGCTCGCAGAGGGGCTGCCATTTCTGCCCCTTCTGGAGAACCATGAACACCGTGTCGTCTGCCAGGGCTTCGAAATACTCTTCCGTCTCCACAGTGGTGCCATCTTCCTCCAGCACCAGCAGGAAGGGCTCGTCGGCCAGCATCAGGGCGTCCCGGACCTGAGGGTAAGGTGGTGAGGCTCCCGCCTGCCCACGCAGCTCCAGAGCAGAAGCGGCACCTCAAACACCTTGCTGCCAGGGGAGGTCGGGGCCCAGGGGCCCCGCCTGGAACGCAGGTTCTGGCTGTGGGGTCACCGCCCAAGGCCCGTGGTAGGGGGCCCGTGGTAAGGCGCGTCGGGGTTAGTCTGCCAGAGCCGTGCTAGGCAAGGAAAACTGAGCCGAGTCCATCATTTTCTATGGAGACAACTCCCACGTCATGAAATTCACCTATTTTAAACTCACCCTATACAGTGTACAGGTGCTTTTTTTCTTAAATATAGTTATGAACTTGTACAGTTACCACCTAATTTCAGCAATGGTAGATTTCTCACTTTAAGAAGCTGCCTTTCTCCTTAAAATTCTTCAGTCGGCCTGGGACCAGCCACACCCACCCCTGGCTCCCAGGTCGGTTTCTGAGTACCATTCTCCACCAGAATGAAGCAGATGTGCTGAGAAAGTCCAGTTCCGGCCCGGCGGGGGACGTTCTGGGGGCCTGCCACACCCCGCTGCCCCGAAAATCAGAAGCACTGGGGAGTAACAGGCACGTGGGGGTCGGCCTGAGCGGCGTCTCCCTGGCGAGCCTGGACGCTCTTCATAACATAACCCGCTCACAGCGAGCCGTCACAGCGAGCCGTCCGCTAAACGAGGGGTACGGAAGCCCCTTTTGATCTAAGTAAATGACTACACTGACAGGCAGGTCGAGAAAGAGGTTTACTTAGCGCAAAGCACCTCCCCAGGTAAGAATTAACACTGCAGGTAAGAGAATAACTTAGGCCTGACGAGCCTCCTTACTGAAATAACCCACGAGAAACAGCTATGTGGTAAATCAACAATCGGCACAGTTTTTCAGTGACAGTATCCTTGATGTATTCCTGCCAGATAACAAGAATCGAGGAAAAGCCGATTCCAGCAGAGCCCATAATCAAAACAACTGACTTAGAATCTTCGACAGAGTGAAGAAAGCACAGTTGGGGGCCCTCCCTGGCGGCACACTGGGTTAGTGCAGCAGTGTGAAGCCAGCAGCAGGCCTAGCTGTAACCCCGCCAGGGAGGGACCCCCAGCAGGGCACCCCAGACCTCTCCTGTCCCCCGCTGCCCCCCTCAGCGGTGTGCTTCCGTCCACCTGCCTATTCTGCTCCCCACTCTGTCTCTGGTGAAGCCTCTCGCCCCCGTACACCTCTGGCCTGTACCCCAGTTCTGTATTTCTTTAAAAAAAGAAATGCCTCCAAGGGCTTATTACCTTATTTTTTTTTTAAAGATGTATTTATTTGTGCATACAGAACTGGGGTACAGGCTAGAGGTGCAGGAGCAGCGAGAGGATTCACTAGAGACAGAGCGGGGAGCAGAACAGGCAGACTGAGAAGTACACTGCTGAGGGGAGCAGCGGGCAGGTCAGGAGAGGTCTGCCGCGCCCTGTGGTCACCTCCGGGGCAGGCGGGAATCGAACTCATGGGGAAGTGGCTTAAGCTTCTCAGTGCAGCGCTTTAACCCGCTGCGCCCCCAGGGAGGGCCCGGGCTTATTACCTTTTAAAATGAAAAGTATTGAATACCTATTATTCAATAGTTCCAAGTGAGTGTTTTGTTTTTTTTTTAAGATTTACTTATGCATCCAGAACTGGGGTTCATGCCAGGGGTACAGGGATGTTGAGAAGATTCAGTAAAAGCCCTCAGGCTTTAATTTATAGCCGGCTGAGAACCACATCACCTTCTACCCCCCTTCACTCCCGCTGCTCCAGACCTGCAAAGGTGGGCACCCCCACCCCACCCCACCCCACCCCACTCTTCTTGCAGCCTCTGGAGTCAAGACCCTGTCTCGGGTTCCCAAACTTCAGGTTATTTGGATAGTCCCGAAGAACCTGCTAGAAAAGGCAAGTCCTGGGCTTCGTGTGCGGGAAGGGCGGGGCGGGGCGAGGAGGGTCCAGGCCGCCGTGCGGTGCGGCCATCTTGATGTAGGAGGTGGTCGCCAGACCTCGGCGAAAACCAGCCTCGGCCGGGTCCAGGGACCCGCAGAGCATTTGATTCCAGGCCAAGGAATGGCGTCCGGACGGCCGGACGCCTCCTAGGAGGGCCTGAAGCATGGACCAGTGCCGACGGAGGGCAGAGGGGACGCGGAGCAGAGGTGAGGTCGGCCAGGATCTCAGACCAGCTCCAGCCACGAGAAGCCTGGTGCAAGCGCTGACCTGTGCCCTGCACCCGCTCGCAGATGCGCAGCCGCGGCCACCCACGTGGTGGAGGAGGCTTACTGAGGGCGGGAGGGACAGTGGGGAGTCACCCCACACACCCCCCAAGGGGCGCCCTCCTGGCTGCTGCTTCCTCGGGCAAAACTGCGTCCTGTCTCGCTCACCTCATCAGCAGCTTGGAAAGCCTTGCACGGCCTGCAGAGGCCACCACGATGGCCCAGAGGGCAGACAGCGGACAAGCCCGGGGGGGAGGGAGGGGGAGGACGTGGGGAAGGGAACCGGCCGCCTTGCCCGCCAGGCAGTTGTGCATGTTTAAGAACCGCAGGGAAAGGGAAGCCCAGCGTCTTTCGGGGAAGTGTACCCCGAAAAGCCCCCAGGCCAGTGCCAGAGCGCTGGGCACCCGCGGGGCGCGCCCAGCCTGCCGGGGCTGCACCCCAGGGCAGTCTTCTCCTGCCTGAGCCTGGGCCTCGAGCTCGGTCCCAGCCCGAC